AATGGGTACAGGTACGGGTGGGGGTCCCGGTAATGGGTACAGGTACGGGTGGGGGTCCCGGTAATGGGTATGGGTACAGACAGGGGTCCCGGTAATGGGTACAGGTGGGGGTCCCAGTACCAGGTACAGGTGTGGGTGGAGGTCACGGTAATGGGTGTGGCTGGGGGATCCCTGTTGCAGGTATGGGTACGGGGTGGGGGGCTCCCAGTAACAGGTGCAGGTTGGGGGTCCTGGTAAGGAGTGTGGAATGGGAGGTCCCTGTCACGGGTATGGCCCAGGGTGCCCCTCATCGTGACGATGTAGGCACGTGACAGGCAGGGCCCACGGGGTGTCTCGTGTCATGGGTATGGTCCCCAGCAGAGGGCCCCCCGCCAGTGCGGGCAGGGCCCCATGGAGCGCCCCGTTGTGGCGGGCAGCACCCCAAACTCACGGGGTGCCCCACCGTGCGCCCACCCCACAGTTCCTCCTGGGGGAGAATGACATGGGTCAGAACCGTGCCGAGGCGTCCCAGCGGGTTCTGGCCGAGCTGAACCCCCACGTGGTGGTGACAGCTCACACCGGGGAGCTGTCGGAGGCTTTCCTCACCTCCTTCCAGGTGAGCTCGTGCCCCCGTGCCCCGGGGCCCCCTGGGACGGCAGCGCCCACTGACGGCCCCTGTGCAGGTGGTGGTGCTGACCGAGTCCCCGCTGGAGGAGCAGCTCCGCATCGGGGACTTCTGCCATGCCCGGGGCATCTACTTCATCGTGGCTGACGCCAAGGGGCTGGCGGGGTAAGGTGTCTCTGCCGCAGGGTCCTGCCATTGGCTCCGGGTCACCTTGTCCCCTGCCCTGCTCTGTAGCCTGTGCCCCCGTCCCACCGGCATGGCTGCTCGGCCTGCGCGGGACCTGGCAGCACTCGGGCAGCTTGGCGAGGTGGCGCCTCCGGCAAAACCCTGTTGGTCCTCTCCAGGCAGCTGTTCTGTGACTTCGGGGAGTGCTTTGTCGTTGACGACCCGGCAGAAGGGGACCCGGTGTGCGCCGCCGTGCAGCACATCTCCCAGGTAGGAGGGCAGCCTCAGCAAGCTTCCGTGAAACACCACTGCCTCCTCTGGTGGCTTTAGGCCACCCGGGTCAGGTCCCCAACCCTCATGTTGCTTCCCCTCCTCAGGGCAACCCGGGTGTGGTGACGTACGTGGGGGCAGAAGACAGCCGCGACCACCTCTTCTGCGATGGTGACTTGGTGACGTTTTCCGGCGTGGAGGGGATGACGGAGCTGAACGGCCGGGAGCCTGTCCCCGTGCACGTGCTGGGTGAGCTGCTCAGGAGGTCCTGGTGGCCCCGACCCAGGGTCGGGGAACTCACCGGGTCCTTGACAGTGACCGTGACATCTGTCCCCCTCTTGTCCCCAGATGACTTCAGGCTGGAGATCGGTGACACCAGCTCCTTCTCGCCCTACCGCTGCGGGGGCCTGGTCTCGCAGGTTCGACTGCCCCAGGTGCACTCCTACGTAAGTCCCCCCTTGGCCCTGCGGTACTGCCACCTGGGCTGTGGCACCGCTGTGCTGTGCTGTGCCGTGACCCGGCCCCAGGGAAGCGCTTGCCTGAGCCCTGGCGCTGTGCTGGCAGGAGCCCCTGCACCGGGCTCTGGCAGAGCCCCAGATCCAAGTGGCAAGTCCCGAGGACCTGCCACGCAGCCGCAGCCCGCCAGCCCGGACGCGCCACGCAGCCGCAGCCTGCATGCCGCCTTCCAGGCCCTGCACGCTTTCCGTGGGGAGCAGGGCCGCCTTCCCCGGCCCAGGGCGCCGGTGAGTCCCCATCCTGCCCCTACCTGGCTTCCCCAGCCCCCCGCCATCCTGACCTGGGGCTGCCCTCGCCCCTCTGCCCGCAGGTGGATGCCGAGCGGGTACTGGAGCTGGCACGGAGCCTGGAGGCACAGCAGGGTCCCCTGGATGAGGACGTCGTGCGAGCCTTCGCCAGCGTGAGCGCGGGGGACCTGTGCCCCATGGCCGCTGTCGTCGGGGCCCTGGCGGCCCAGGAGGTGCTGAAGGTGAGCAGAGCAGGGGTCCCACTGGTCATGCTCCACACAGCTGTCCGGCAGCGTTCGGTGACCACAAGAGGGCTCTTGCTGTCCGCCTGGGGACGCCAGGCTGAGCAGCAGGGCTTGGCAGGCTGCCGAGCTGACAGAGCCCTTTTTGCCCCAGGCCATCACCAAGAAGTTCCTGCCCCTGGACCAGTGGTTGTACTTCGATGCCCTGGAGTGCCTGGCGCTGGAGGGGGCTGTGCAGCTGACGGAGGACGACTGCGCCCCAGTGAGAGCACGTGCCGATCCCGTCCCAGGTGCTGGGGGTGCCGCAGCTGCCTGTGCTCACGCGGCTTCTCTGTCCCGGCAGAGGGGCTCTCGCTATGATGGCCAGATCGCTGTCTTCGGGGCCGCCTTCCAGGAGCAGCTGGGCCGCCAGAAGTACTTGGTGGTAAGCCGGGGCGGGTACCGCAGTGCCAGGAGAGGCTGCGGAGTGGCCAGCCAGCGCACAGGGAGCTGCAGCGGCTCTGCCCTGGCAGGTGGGAGCTGGTGCCATCGGCTGCGAGCTGCTGAAAAACTTTGCCATGATGGGACTGGCAGCGGGGCCAGGCGGGGACCTCACCGTCACCGACATGGACACCGTTGCCCTCTCCAACCTCCATCGGCAGCTCCTCTACCGCTCGGCGGATATATCGGTGAGGCGCTGCGAAGCAGGGACCGAGCTCCCCCCGAAGGGCACCTTGGCTGTCCCGGGTGCTCCCTGGGGCTGTGGGGCAGGGGAGAGCTGCCCACCCCCTCTCTGCCCTGGCAGAAGCCGAAGTCGGTGGTGGCCGCAGCGGCCGTGCGGCGCATGAACCCCAGCATCAGGGTGACGGCTCACCAGAACCAGGTGGGACCTGCCACCGAGCCACTCTACAGGGACAACTTTTTCCGGCGCCTGGACGGCGTCGCCAGCGCCCTGGACACACTGGAGGCCCGTGAGTGCTGGGGGGGGGAAAGGGGCCGAGCCCCCGGACGTGCCCCCCGGAGCCCCAGCACCCCTGGCTCCCCACAGGCGCCTACTTGGAGAGCCGCTGCTTCCGCTGCCTCACACCGCTGCTGGACTCAGGCACAGAGGGGCCACGGGGGAGCGTGCTGGCCATGGTGCCCTGTCTGACCAAGCCGCTGGAGCCGGCCAGCGCCCCCGGGGATGGCACCTTCCCCCTCTGCACCCTGCGGTACTTCCCCCGCACCATCCAGCACACGCTGCAGGTAGGCTGTGCCACGCTGGCCCCGGCACCCAGCGAGGAAGTCCTGGCACTTTTGTCTTCCTTTCCTGTTTCCCCCTCCGGCCATGGTCCGGCAGTGGGCCACTGGCAGGATACGGCCCCAGCTGCTTCCTGCTGGCAGCCCGAGCTCTGCCGTCAGCCCCGGCCCTGGCACGGTCTCTCCCTCCCCCTGGGCTTGGGTTGGGGGTCCCGGGGGGCACGAGGGGGCGGTCCCAGTGCTCAACCCCTGCTCCCCTCCGCAGTGGGCCCGCGATGAGTTTGAGGGCCTCTTCCAGCTGCCCGCAGAGCACGTCAACCGGTTCATGAAGTGAGTGGGCTTGGAGGAGTGGCGCCGGGAGAGCGGCTGCCAGCCCTGCCGGGGAGCTGCCTGCCGCTGCTGGGGTTGGGTAGAGGGGGACAGACTGCCGCATCCTGCCCGGAGCGTCCCACGGGATTGCTCCTGGGCCAGCAGCAGCGACGCCTGGTTTTGCAGAGACCCGGCTTTCCTAGAGCAGCTGCCGGCAGGGAAGGCTCTGGAGGTCCTGGAGCAAGTGCGGGGCAGCCTGTGGGAGCGGCCACGGGACTGGCAGGACTGCGTTCACTGGGCCCGCCAGCACTGGCAGAGCTGCTACCATGATGCCATCACCCAGTTGCTGCACACTTTCCCCCCGGAGCACGTGAGCCCGGCACCCATGGGGCTGGCACCCCCCACATCCTCTCCCCTCTGCCAATCACCCCGCTGCAGCTGGGGGGGACGGTGTCCCCGGGCCTGACTCTGCTCTCCCTGTGGCAGGAAACCAGCCCGGGTGTCCCCTTCTGGGCAGGGGACAGGAGCTGTCCCCATCCGCTGACATTCGACCCCGACAACGTGAGTGCAGGGGAGAGCCGCAGGGGACAGTGCGGGCAGGGGGAGAGCTGAGCCTGTGCCAGGGGTACGGTGGATGCCGGACTGTAGTCGTGCTCCACCTGCCACAGCCTGTCCGGGGCTGCCAGGTCCTGGGCTGGGTCTGTCCACATCCCCCAGCTGGCCAAGAGCATTGCTGGGGACATCCCACATGTGCTCTGCTGCAGGAGGAGGAGAGGCACCTCCATCTCCACCTCAGGGCAAAGTGGGCATCTTTTGGCCATGTGGGCTCATGGACCACCCTGGCTGCCTGTGCGCTCTGCCCCCACAGGACACCCACCTGGAGTACATCCTGGCTGCTGCCCACCTCTTTGCCCAAGCGCACAAGGTGCCACCATGCAGTGACCGGGCAGCCACCCAGACCATCCTCCGCAGCATGGTCCTGCCACCCTTCGCACCCCAGGAGGGGCTCCAGATCCCCCTCACGGAGGAGCGGGAGGAGGTGCAGGCGCCTGTGGGTGAGGCTTCCAGCACCCCTGAGTCTCTCGGGGCACATCCCTGGTTCCAGCCTGGTGGCAGTGGGGCTGCGGAGCTGCTTGTCCCTGCCTCAGCACCCAGGAGGACCCAGACCAAGAGGGGGGGCACCGTGTTGTGCCCCCCACAGTGCCACGGTGCAAGGGTACCACCCTGGGGGTCCCTGTGCCCCCAGATGGCGTGCAGCTGGCAGCACTCACCCAGGACCTTGTGCAGCGGAGACAGGAGCTGGTAGGGGGTGAGGAGGCGCAAGTGCCCCTGATGGAGCCCATCCACTTCGAGAAGGTACCCGGGGCCGGGCAGGCGGCCCTGCTCAGCTTGGGGAGTTGGTGGCTGCTAGTCCCCACTGGATGCCGATGTCCCCACAGGAGGCTGATGTCCCCACGCTCTTTCCTGCAGGACAACAACATCCACGTGGACTTCATCATGGCGGCGTCCAACCTGCGTGCAGAGAACTACGGCATCCCCCCTGCCGACTGGCTGACGGTGAGGAGGGCAGCCCGTGAGGTCAGGAGTCCCTGTGCTGTGTGGGGCAGCCGGTGACACCCCCGCCTGTCCTCAGAGCAAGCGGATCGCCGGGCGGATTGTGCCCGCCATCATCACCACCACAGCGGCCGTGGCCGGGCTGGCATGCCTGGAGGTCTACAAGCTGGTGTGGGGGTGCCAGGACCCCAGCTGCTACCGCAACAGCCACCTCTGCCTATCCAACTGCTGGCTGCTCCGCACCCAGCCTGTGCCACCCCGCACCTACCGGGTAGGACCCTCTCCCCTGGGGCAGGGCAGGTGGGGAACACCCAGGGGTCTCGGGGTGCCCCAGCTCCCAGTGGCAGCTGCTGTGGGGCAATGCCAGGGGAACCCAGGAGCAAGGAGGTGGCCATGCAGGAGGGGCAGCCCTGGCCGTGGGGCTCTGGAAATGGATCTGGGTGCTGCAGTGGGCCAGGCACGCCGCCAGGCAGCAAGGAACCGGCTCCTTCCTGCAGCCGCCCCCCTGGCACCAAGCCGCCAGTGCTGTCCCGCTCGCCCCAGCTTCGGGCCCAACCAAGATGCTCTGGGGTGCCCGTGGGGCTGAGGCAGCCCTGCTGCCCCACAGTGGGCCCCACAGCGAGCCCCGCAGCCAGAGGGCGGGGGGCCGTGGCAGCCG